CAGCAATCCTTCCTATTGCTGTTTTTCACACTGTGAGCTGTAACCATAAACAAAGAACCATCTTGTGCTAAATGCTCTCTGAAAAGAAGAGCTACAAAAGGGCCTCATAAGAGTCTAGGTCTCATCCTACGGTCCTTGTCAAATGGAACTCCTAAATATTTGCTTAAATGATCTTGGCTTAAGCAAAACTCAACCTAGTGCTCAAAGCATTGTGCTGAACCGAGCCCATGGCAAGGAGACTTTAAAGGGGGCACCATGGCCAGGAGACCATGGCAGCTCCATCATCCCAATCCTTTAAAATAAAGGATGCCAAAACATCTCTTGGCTCTGCCCTGACCACCAGCAGTCTGCCAGGCCTTTCACAGGCTCACATGCTCCTGCTACTTATCTAGTGGGTTTATTTCCTGCCTCACAGGCAGTGTGAGCAGTCACACTTGGCTGTGTAGCTTCACTGCCTGTCTGCAGCCACTTTCTCATCCCTTGCCCAGTGAGCAGCAATAACTGCCCTCCTCCTTCCCCAACCCACCCAAACAACACCTCCAGCATCCTGGGTGAAAATGAGGCACGAGAGAGTGAAAGGATTTATCCAAGGCCAAGCATGAGATATAATTCAGGGCTTCTGTCTCCTGATCTCTCTGCACCTTGGTGCTGACTTTCTCATCAACACAATATTCCTATGCTTTTCTTCGCAATCTGAGGAAAAATGTCCATCTCCCTTGTATCCTCACCCTAAAGGAAAAGACAGAGGCAAGCATGATGTGAAAACAGGAAGATTCCATGATACTGTCTTCTCATCTGCCACTAGCAACAAGTGCCTCAATGCAAAGCGTACATTAATTTAGTATTGAACAGATGGAAGAAAACTGTAGACCAAGCAGATACAGAAGAGTGGTGCTCAAACACTAGGAAAAATTACAGTAATAGGTCAGATATAACGTCTCCTCCCTGCTTCCCAAGCCAGATCCTTTTTCAAGGACTCCACTCTCACAAGCTAACACGAGCCTGCTCGGGGGGAGCACTGAGGCCAGGTCTGCGCGGGCTCAGGACAGCCATGCCCCAGGTCCCCCTGGCCCACTCCTCTCCCCCTCCCAGAGAAGTTGTCAGCAGAACCTGTTGGAGCAGGGGCTCGTTGACTGCTCCCTGTCCATTACAGCCTGGATTATAAGCATATTGCACAGTGCTCTCTGCACGGTGCTGGGGAAATCCAATACGCTGAAAGGTTAATGCAATCAATTAGGGTGACAAGGAAGTAGAGTAAAGCCTTCTGAGTAGATGAAAGGGAGAGAGAGATGGAGACAGGGAAAAGCAAAGAGAAGCAGGGGGGGAGCAAAGAGTGGGAGGAGAAGGAGGAAGATGGTATACAGGACTTGTGCTGTAGACCTCAGGGTGCTGGTGTGCCCCAGCATGGATGGGGTGGTGTCATTCACAGAAGCAAGGCAGGCCATGGGTCCCCAAGGCAGCAGCTGGGCCAGGACTCCCTGTTTGTGGCTTTTCCTGCCATCTCCTGCAGAATGTGGAGCCCTGCTCAAACTGCAGCTGCCCAGGTTCTCCTGCCATCAACCTGCTCCCTAAGGGTGATTGCTGGGGGACTGGCAAAAGTTCCTGTATCTTTCCTGCCCAGGTATCCAGAAGGCATGAAGGATTAGGCTTGTAAGGTAAAGGATCTCAGCAAGCCATGGGGGAGCATCAAGGGAGGAGAAAGAGGGAACAGGAAAGACAAAGAGAACTTCTGGCTGCTCATACACTCTGCACACAAAGGTAAGGATGAGCACCATCTCTCTGTAGACTTCCTAGTTAGACACTGGTCATCACCACTGGCCACTTATCCCCTCGTGCCTGTAAGCATCTGTAACTTAGGTGCTTTCTCACTTTTCCAGCCTCCTTCCCAGTGTGCCAGCCTGGGCTCTCCTGCAAGGCCAGAGGACCAGCCCCAGCCAGCGCCCAGCTGCAGCAGCTTCACCCCTGCCTGCAGACAGTTCGGTGAGGGTGTCGTGGCACTCAAGGCACCAGCACAGCATGGAGATCCCAGTGCCATAATGTACATCCTGCTGCTCCATCCAGCATGGCACAGGCTTCCCCGGGGCATTCAGCCCAGGGAAGAGCCCCATCCTTCCCCTCTGGCCCCCGAGCTGCTGCTGGCTGGCTGCACTCCTGCTCCCTGACCCCCCAGCAGAGCAGTACTTCATTAACCTGGGCTGACAGGTCAGCGAGCACAGCCCCTTCCTACCACGGCTCCTGCTCGGGCACAGCTCAGCCAGGGAGAACGTGACACCAGCTCATTAGAACAAATTATTACTCTATAACCCCTGCTGCAATGTCCCTTAATATGCCTATTTAGCAAGAGACAAGTCCTGGTGGGCTCCTCGGCATTAAAACAACCTCACAAATCACCAGAGGCACAAGCACCACGATCTCTGCTTCCAGAGGTGGAGAGAGGGCGGCTGCTCCTTGGGTGGGTGCTGAAGGGGCACACAGTCCTGGGCTCTTCCCCTGCAGCAAAATGAAGCTCCAGATGTTGCTGAGGGATGTTCTGAAGGCAGGGAGTTTCCATCTGGCTGTGGCTCACTGTGCTGCCAAACATGCCCAAGCTTCAGCACAACCAAGTGTTGTTCCCTCACTGAAATCCACTGAGGAAGTGTTCTGGGATGCCCATTAAACTGTTGGGCCTGTTTTTCTCTGCCTTATCCCTGCCTAACTTTGCCCTCAGCACTACCATCGGTGTCATGTTCTATGTTAGCCCTACAAGATTTAAATGTTTCCCTGTGATATATATGAAGTCAGTGCCTGCCTTTCCAAATCCGTCTACACTAACCCTATGTGCTCACTCCTTCAGGTTAACCAGCCAAGCCAAAGAGCAAGTTTGGAAACTGACACTGATGGCAGGCACTGTGTGCTACCTCCCCATGTAAGACCAGGCTACATTTTGGGGGATAAACCCACTGCACATGAAAGCAGTAGGCTCACACCTTTGCAGGGAGGGCTGTCAGCTGTCTAGGACTAATCCAGAAATCACAGAACTGCCGTAGTTTTGGGCACAGAGAGTGAGATATCACAGGCAAAGACAGAATTGCGGGCAAATGTCAGAGGAAGGCTGCTACTAAACAGGAGCAGGGAGCATGAGGAAATCAACCTCCAACCTGACCTTCAGAAGAGGGAAAAGGGAGAAATAAAAACAGTGATTCATATAGCAGAGAGAAGTGGCAGCAGTGCCAGGCAGGAGACAGTGAGAAAGAAAAGTAACGGAAAGAAGAGAAGAAAGTGTGAGAAGTGTGTGATGGTGGGCACAGAGAGGGGCAGGATGAAAGCAAATGAATGGAGGAACGAGGGACCTGAGAGAAGCAGAGAGAGGGAGGGCGGGAGGAAAAGGAGGAGAAAAGAGCAAGAATAGCCATGCAGCGAGGAGCACACGGGCGAGGCCGAGCGCTGTAACCAGGGTTGTGAAGCATGAAAAGGGAAGAATCTGCCTGTTCCTTTCAGCACTTGGAGCATGGCGCTCAGTGGTGACCTACACTGTGCCTGGCTGTGATCACGTTTTCAGGGCCACTGCCTGCCGATCCCAAACAATGATGAGGAGCCTTTGAAGTCAGAGAAAGAAGCCGCAATGTGAACTGGGGACTTTCTTTTCCCCCCTTTTTTTCCCCTCCATTTTTTTAAGGGCCGGGGGAAGAAGGGAGGAAAAGGAAGGCCTGAAGTGGTGGGGGGAAGGTTGGGGGAGAGGTTGCAAGGACAGAACAGAGAGTTGCTCTCGGTGGGGTGCCCCGAAACGAGAGAGACAAAAAGAAAACAAACAGTTTATGAGCAGGGCACATGCTGCCTGTGTCTGCATGCCCCACACTGCTGGCCCCCCGTGCTCCAAGGGAGGCTTCTGTTCCCCAGCAATGATGGATGGATGCATAGGGCCATTCAGGCCTGCCATGTTACAGCAGCAGTATTTACATAACACTGGCCTTCCACCGGTCACCTCTGACACTGCCCGGCCCAGCCTGGGGCCCCCTCCCACCCCAGCCAGCCTGGGCCCCTCAGATGCTGCTGGGACTCAGTCCATGTGCTCCCCAAAACTGGGCATTGGGGGTCCCCACTGCTGCAGGGATGCTCTGAGCACACACACTGCACTGAGTGCTCCTGAGCAATGCCTCACAGGGCAGAGCACTTCCCGCCCTCCCCACAGCCTCTCCTGCCCTCAGACATCTCTTGGTGCCTGCTGATGGAGGGGAAGGAAGAGAAGCCAGGGACAGCAGGAATGTCAGCATGGCAGGGACTTCTCAGTAACCACTGTCTGAGGTGGCATAGGGAGTGTCTTACCCAGCACACGGAGATAAGGCATTTAATAGACAAAATTATCTTCCATTTCCCTGGGCTTTAGACCTCTAACTCTTACCAGGCACAGACTAAGTCACCATCCAAGCTCTAGGAGACTGTGAAGCTGGGTTTATTTCTTTCTTTACCAAGACCATGATGGTCTAGGTAAAGGGAAAACCCAGGAAAGCCCTGATTCTCCTGCACACATGGAAATGCTTCCACACTACCACCATGGTTCTGCAGTCTGAATAGATAAAAATGTGCCAGAAGAGGAGGAGAACATGCACATCACCATCTGAATTATGTGAACTGAGCTCAGCAAAACTTCACAGTAGATGGAGACTGCATCCTATTCAGTGAAAGGACCTTATATCCATCTCCCCCATTACACATGCATGAAGTTCCCTTTCACCAAAATCCTCACACTTTTTTAGCTGTAAAGATAGAGGCAGTAGAGATGTTGAGGAAAACCCTCAGTGACAAAACCAGGTGCCCAGAACAACTGCTGTACAAAGACAAAGACAGGATTAGGACACACATATGCCATGTCTGTACTTGACCTTCTTCTGTTTCCATCTCTCTTCATGAGTAACAGCAGCCCAACCCCAGAAGATCTAGTGCAGACATGGCCACAGTGAGCAGGCTGCAAGTGTGAGAGATGCACAGAGGAAAAGAGAACCCAGGAGGGCATAGTGACATACCCATTGCAGTCTGAAGTCTCTCCTACCTTTCGGAGATTTCAAGGCCTCGTTTCTTGCCTCGTTTTTAGCTCTAAATTCACTTCATTCTGGAGTGAGAAAAGAAAGGATCCAGTTAACACAAAGGGCACACCTGAGTAAAAGCCAAGACCCACAAAAGCTGCGTAAGAACATGGTCCAGCATGGGACATTCAGACTCCACAAGAGAACAAAATGCTTTCCTGTTCCTGGCTGTACCCCATGGCACTTCTCCCTGAAAGAGGTTCCTAATGAGGGTTGGGAATCATTTCACATAGAGAGCAGCCATTATTGGCCTGCATCCTGCTCCCCAGGTACCAGAGACACACCTTGTGCTGCTCTGCTCTGTACTTTGCCCGCACATCTAAGGTTGTATTCTGCTCCATGTCAGATTTTCCCTCCTTAATCTTCATATCTCCTCTGCTGACCCCTCTTTCCCAGAGGTTCACCTGTGTGCTAATGGGAGGCCTCCTCTGTACACCTTGTGGGGCACAAGATTACGTGGTGCAGGAGTGGGTCCCATGTTACTGAACCCCCTTATCTGCTCATCTGTGCATTTTCCACCCAGGAGAATGCAGAGAGTGAGGACGAAGGAGAAAAGGGACAGAGGAAAAAAAGTCACAGCAAAATACATGAAAAGTAAATTGAATTATTTAAAACCATATGTTCCAAAAATGTGACAGAGCATAAAAGCCGTGCCATGAGACTTCTGGAGGGGGTTATTCTGCGCAGGCGGGGTGGGAGGAGAGCTCACGGCTGGGGAAGACTGCACTGAAGCCAGACAGGGTCTTCCCTGTCCCAGAGCTGGGAGGTGGCCAGGGGCACAGGGTGGCTTCATGCACAGTGGCAAGGGTGCCTGGCCCATTCCTGTGGCCTCTGTTCTGCAGCCCTGGCAGAACAGCTCTCACAGCTGAGCAGGGTGGCAGGAGGATGACAAACTGCCCCGAGGTCCTGCCCCGCGTGCCCGTGGTTGAGTCCAGGAGCCCCAGCTGTCCGTGCCACACACCAGCTCTCCACACGTTCCCTTCTCCGTGCAGCAGCGACTCAGCCCTGCTGAGACCCTCTCGAGTCCCTTGCAGGACAAAAGGGAGAGGGATTCAGGGAACTCCGTGCTGCTGCCATGGCTCACCCCTGTGTTCCAGGGCCCTGGCACACTGTGCATGTGGACGGCCTCCTCCTGTCACTTATACTCTGCCACTGCCAAAGATAGATGCCACATGTTGGCTGGGACCCAGAGCAGGAAGGAGCTGGTGAGATATCCCAGATGGATGCATGGACAGGAGGACGGAGCCCCTCGGGTGAGGAAGGTGCATAACCAGCCTGGCTGCTTCCTTTTCCACTCAAATTCTGATGCTAAAAAGGCTGAGGGCATGGCTGGAGTAACATCTCCCTGATCTGAGGTGCTTCTCCCACCCTAGCACCCTCGGTCCTTCTGGCATCCCTTCTTTCACCTTTTTTTCCCCTTTGTTCTCCCTTTTTTCCTTACTCTTTCCACTGCTTTCTCTGCCACTGCCACACTGTTTTTTCCTTCCCTCTCTTTTGTTCTCTCCCTCCTTCCCAAGCTCTCTGCCTGTAACTCTCTGCCTTCCTGCCTTCACTCCCTAACCCCTGTGCACGATCAATTCTTGGGATTGGGTTTTTAATTGTTTTTTTTTTTTTTTACTCCTCTTCTTTTGGCTGCAGCTTATCAATGATGCAAGAGGAATAACGCCAATTTACTTAGAATGTGTAATCCCCAAATCAGATTGGGGGATTGTATGAGGCAATATGACCTTGCATATGTCTCCATTAAAGCCAGCCAGGCCTCCTCTTGTATTCTGTGTTCCCAGTACATATTTAGACAGATAACGCTAATTGTACTTGACATGTCCTCTTAAGGATGGACTCTTCCCTCCCCCAGCTCTGCTTCCCTGCCTGACAATGTGCCAGAGCCCAGCCCGCTGCCTGGCAGCGTGGCACGGCACAGCACCTGTGGGACAGCCTGGCACGGCCCCCGCGGCCACCCAGCACGGCACCCTCTGTGGGGACAAGGGCCAGGGACGGGCTGCTGGGACACAGCTGATCTGAGATTACACTGCTGCTGTGTCCATTGTGGCTTCCCCAGGAAAAAGCCTTCAGACAAAGAGAGGAGACTTGCTCACCATGAACATCTTTGAAGTCTCCCTCCTTTCCAATGATGGGCTTCTACCCCACACCTCTTAGTTCCCACATCTGCTTTGGGTAAGAATTTGTATTTGGCTACTGGGCCCCAGATGCAGCTTCTAGGGAACATCACTGGAAAATCATAAAGTCCTATAACGGTTTGGGTTGGAAGAGACCTTTAAAGGCCATAGGCAGGGACACTTTACACCAGACTGGTTTGCTTCAAGCTCAATCCAACCTGGCCTTGAACACTTCCAGGGATGGTGCAGTCATAGCTTCACTGAGCAACCTGTGCCAGGGTCTCACTACCCTCACCATAACCATTTTCTTCCTTATATCTAGGCTAAATTGTGCCTCTTTTAGTTTAAAACCATCACCCCTTGTCCAATCACTATAGGCCCTGCTAAAAAGTTTGTCCCCATCTTTCTTGTAAGCCTCCCTGAAGAAGCTCTGAAAGGTTGCCTCTTCCCTGTGCCTGTCATTCATCACTGCTCCAGAGCAGACGTGCAGGACGCAGGAGGAGGAGGAGGAGGAGGAGGAGGAGGGGAGCTTATTCCAAGAAACCAATGGATCCAAACTCTTCGCCAAAGTGGACTCAGTTTTTTTTTTCCCCTTGACACAACATCCTAATTCGACTTTTTCAGTATCTTTCCTTCAACAACCTTTTTTCCTTCCTCCCCTTCCTACCCGGCAACTGCGCATTTATTAATTCATGAGGCACTAATTAGTTCTTTGTTTAATTTTGTGTTAAACAGACTGACCGGAATGATAACGACTTGCAGCGTTGCATTACGGTCCCCAACCGCCCCTGTTTTCTGACAACAAGGGAGCGCAGTGAGACTGGCGTGATGAACCCCAATTCCCACTCCAGTTGCACTTCATTAAGTCAAAATGTGACAAGAAGCTTAGAGAGCAACTTTCAGATCGGATCGCACATAACAATTGGGCAGGAAACTTTCCAAGGGGGAAGCGCGAGAGGCACTCACAGCGAAGGCTGGCACCGCGCAGTCCCCTGGCGTGCCTGCCTTAAAGGAGCAGCTCAGGCTGTCCAGGCAGGGCTCAGGGCACGTGCTGGGAGCACCGAGTGCCAGAGGAAGAAGAGGAAAGGAAGGGCAGCAAGACAAGCCAAAGGCACAGCAGGGCAGGACAGGAGGCATCATGTGCTCCCCTTGTTTCCTTTGCAGTGATGGCTTGTGTTGGCAGCCTGTGGGATGGGTTGTGATGAGAAACTCGGAGCCCAGGTGGGATAATCCCTCAGTGGGTCACTTCATGAGCTTTGAGGACATCTTCAGGCACCTTCAACTCCATGCCTCAGTTTCCCCCCTGCAGCTCTACAGTGAAACAGCTGGTGACACTCAGCTGCTCTTCAATTGTCAAGAAGTGCAGGATTACCATGGAGCCCCGAAGCTGCAAAGGGAGAAGGTGAATCCTGGCACCCACATTGCTAAAGTCAGAAGGGAAGAGACAGCTCTGACAGCAGGGAGAGGGATGGCCGCCCTCCTGGAGAGGAAGCTGTGCCTGCCTTCAACCTTGTGCAGTGCCTGACACTCCAGTGGCACTACCAAGTTTTGAAAAGGTCCTGATCAGTATAGCAAGAGCAATAAATCTGATAGACTGCAAAGCAAGCAGAGGAGGTGGTTCACTGAAGGGCAGTGAGATGCAAACAGGAAAGTGAAAAGGGTCTTAAAACACCACCTCAGAGGGGGTGGAGTATGACAAAGTAAAGAAGACTATCCCAGTGCACAGAACATGGAAGTTTTGCCACAAATCAAATATATCTTCTGTTATTGCGGAGACATCTGCTGTGGGAATAAACCAAGACCACCTAAAAGTGAAATGGGTGGCAAGGTCTCAATGACTTTTCTAGCAAATATTTTTCCCACACTTCTCATCCCTCTCCCTCTTCCCTCAGGATGGGAAAACTCATCCCCTAGCCTTGCTCTGCAGAGACCCAAAGCTCAACTAAGGTCCAAAACACTGGCAGAGCAATGTGGGGGACTCTGAGAGTGTCATCAGGACTGGGAAGGGACACGAGAGCTGTGAGGGAGTGCACAGGCACGTGTCCTGGGCAGGGCAGGGCAGGGCAGGGCAGGGCAGGGCAGAGGACGGAGCCCTGCAGCTGAAGCCTCTGAGCCCCCAGGAGACCTGCCGGCTCCAGGCTCTACATGCATTATCAGTGCTGTACCTGAGTGAGCTGTAATCGTAGCAATCTTTGGGAAAGAGGCCAGGCTGCAGCAAGGCAGCACAGCATGGTGTTTGCCCGTACACTCACAGCTGAACAACACGCAGATCCGAGAGCAGACGTGTTTGCGCTGGCTTCCATCTTTCATGAATCTGGAATGCAGCAGGGACCTCTGTGACTGACAAAAAGGCTGTTCCTCCATGACAGAAATCCCAGGAAGACAGCACATCCCTCTGATTTCACTTATATATGTGCTCTGGATCCCATAAAAAGGCATTTGTAGATATTAACACTCAGTTGGAGGGTTGGAATGGTATCCAGTAAGGGCAAATCACCCATTTAACACCTGAAGCAAGGACAACTGAGAGTCCAGGATTCCTGGGGACAAGAAACATACCCTGCTGTCACCAGCCCAACAAAACTTCCTGGTTTTGCAGAGGGGTTGGAATATTCTGGCTGCTCTATAGATCCAGTTGAGCAGCCTCACCCAGCTATTGTCTCCTGCCAATCTTGGACTGCTCAGCTGAAAAGGCCTGGGCTGAAGGAGAGGGAAACTCGTGTTATTTCCCATTTCTCCCTTTTTTGGCTGCTATTACAAGGCAACACCAGCAGTGCAGCACAAACCAACTCCATCCCCAGCTGTAGGGCTACACAGCTGCCAGCGCTCCCAGCAAAGTTTTGTGCTGAAAATTCACAAGCATCCCAAATAGGTCATGGTCTGTCCCTTCTTCATCAAACAACATGCTG